TTTCGGATATAATCAACTTCAACTTTGTTAGTAAGATCTTTGCATTGAAACAATAATAAGTAATGATTATGATTGCTAAACATATTCATGCCACCGTCACCTCTTGTTAAGCTATAAAAAAAAAAAAAACTATAAGTAATTGTCATCATCATCAAGGAACATGCACTGGAGCCAATACAGTCATTTATCTATACATCCTATTTACCATTCAGATAACAGATAAAACAGAGAAGGACGTTCACAAGCAATTATTACTTGGCTCTTGTAACATCCCCTGTGGCCACGATACGCTTCCAGTTCTCTGCCTATCATATCATCCTAGTGATAGCGTAACTTTAGATGCATAATGACTAAATGATTACTTAGTGATATAATTCTCACCTCACTCTTTGGCAGTCAATCTTTATTTTATTTTTAACCAATTTGAAAACTTTAATTTCAAATACGTTTTCTTTAGAAAAAGAAATAATAGAAGAATTATTGGTATGCTTCATTTTACTGGTAAGAAAATTTCAAAATGTTCAAAATTTTTTTTTGAATTTTGCACCTGATATATCTTATATTCTTTTCCAAAATTAGTCTTCTAGCTCATAAAAAGAAAATAAACACGCACTTTCATTATTAAAAATTTAGAGTAAGAAAACTCATGTAGATCTACAAATAGGGTGAGAAGTTTATTTAAGAGTACATAGATCATTAATTTTTGTCAGGATGATGCTGAAATCGGATGATGCTGAAATTCACATGATTATATGATGATTTCCGCTATTATATAGTAAAAATAAAAATTATATTATAACTAGATTTAATGCGAAGTAAACCTACTTTTGTGCACTAACAAAAGTAGTTTTTCAGATTAAGACACTTCTAATAGTAATAAAATAATCAAAAATGGTCAAATAGAGCGTCTGCAATAGTTCTTCAAAGTTTAAATCACTGTTATAACTTGCAAATCATGTAAACAAACGTTTTAAAACTTTGAAGAACTATTACAGATGATCTATTAGATCGTTTTTGATGATTTTACTATCATTAAAATCATCTCAATCTGAAGAACAACTTTTATTAGTACATGAAAGTAGATTTACTTAACACTAAATCAAGGTTTAAAGTAATTTTTATTTTTACTATATAATAGCAGAGATCATCATGTAATCACGTAAATTTCAGCATCATCTGATTTCAGCATTATCCTGACAATTTTTATTTGCTAGGGTTGGTGTTACAAAAAAATAATGTAACCTTTAAACATTATCTGTTATGCTTTTTCTTTGTATAACTTCACAATAGTTTATCTTGTAATTAGGATATCATGTTTATATATTTTTAAGCTTTGTTATAAGTTTATATAAACTTTGCGATGATTTATAAACGTTAATATAGTTTTTTGGCTGTTTTTTTTTTTCAACAGTGTTGGATGCTTTAAAATATATTATGTTACATTTATTGTTATCATATTGTTTTAATTGATTAGGCTTACTTACACTATTTTTAAGTCTTCTTGGTTAATAATAAGCATCGCCACCAAGACATCTAATAATAGATAGGCGACCTGTCAGTTGTTTTCGGCCCAAATTAAATTTAATTTGGGTCAAAATCAGAATTCATTAATTGCTCTCTTTTGAGTACGTAAAGATCACATGACGATCACTGATCTGTCCAATCTGTATTTTGTTTTGATTTCACATATGGATTTATTTCCATTTGATATGTCAAATTTGCCTGGTTTGAAATTATTTGACGCCAAATAATCTGCAAGTTTTTTTTATTTATTATGGTTAGATCATCAGAATTATCATGTATTAATGCAAATTAGGTTGCATAACATTTAATAAGTTACTATAATAAAGATTTATTTCAACTTAATCTTTTTTCGTTTTCTCAGATACTGATTTTAATTCATTCTTTAAATATAAGTAATTTGCAAATTAATTAATATTATCACGCATGTTTAATTATTTAATTATATTATTAGATCAGTTATATTAACATGAGTGAGGACAAGAAAGATTAAAAAGAAAGATATTTTAAAAATATTACTGAAAACGTTGGTCGAAAGTTAAATATTGATTTTAAAACTCTACCTTCCACTCAATTCGATCCTGAAGAATGGAGACATTATCGTTGCCAATTTGGTTAATATATTGATGATTTGATATTGTTTGGACAACTTTTTTTGGATCTACAATATATGGATTTATTGTTTGAAACTTTTTAAAAAAAAGATGATATAATAAACACATTCATAAACTCATTTGATTTAAATTTATTGCAAACATATGCTTTAAGATACAAAAAAAAACAACGTACCACTATTTATGCAAATAATTTGTATCTTGCAACAACTCAATTAAAAGAAACAAGAAAAGAATTCTTTATCATTGCAAGAATTCCAATTTCTACTTTATATAATCAAGACATAACTCCCATCATTAATAAATTTAATAATCTAAGGTGTGTATCAAATTTATGATAATATAATTCTTGAAATTAATTAAAATTTGTTAATTATTTATTTAGAAATAATTCTTGAAATTTTGAAAAAAATAAATTATAGTATTTTTTAATATGATTAAGAATAAGGATAAGTTTATTTTATATTATAAGAATGTAATTATTCTTTATTAAAAAAATAGTATATTTTCAAATAAGTATATATAAAATTTTTAGGTTAGATTCTAATTTGTTCGGATTTGCCAGAAGATAAATATTGTTAAAAAAATGGGTTGGAAATAAACTATTTAAAATTTAATTACGAATAATAGACAAATATTTGATTAAATTTTTAAATATTTTTGCAGTAAGTGATAATTAACACTTGGCTTCATTTAACAAATATAGGAGTAAGTTTACTAAAGAAGTTTCTAGGTACATGTAAGATTTGTGGCTAAACTAGATTGACTCAAAAAGATTAATTTTTCTAATAAACTTGTAGAACTCCTATAGTAGGACTAAGAATAACATATTTTTAGCATTGTTAGTCCAATCGCTAAGGTGTATGTGTTTTTTGTAATCAAATATTACCTAATAAGATGAGATTCGTCATAAAATTCTTTGTTAAAACTTGTTCAAGATAAAAATTCATAGTCATGTAATTAATACAACAAATAAACATGCATAAATGCTCTGTCTTATAAATTATTTTTAATCTAAGGCACCAATTAAAAAATAGTTTCTTGTATAATTTGATTTCATGAATTTAAAATAGCTAAAAAGGTTCTCAAAGAAATCACAAATATTCAGTGTATAACAATAGGTCTAGTTCAAATCTTTTTGTCTTTATAAAAGAAAAAAAAAGACTTAAGGTTACTGTTATAAAGTTAAATTACGTATAAGGTTGGTTACATGGTTATATGGTTATCAGCGATACTGTTAGATATCGATAATTATAAAATTTAAATTCTGCTGATCAGCATCTGGTAAACATAATATTGGTAGAATTAGCTCGTAACTCTGGTAAACATAAATTTGGTAGAATCTAACAGATAATTAAATCGTAACTCTGGTACCTTAAGTATAATTTTGGTAGAATTAATTCGCAGCTTTGGTAAACATAATATTGGAAGAATTAAATCGTAACTTTGTTAAACAAAACATATCTTGGTAGAATTAATTCGTAAATCTGGAAGGCATAATTTTGGTAGAATTGATCTCGTAACTCTTGTAAACATAATTCATAACCTGGTAAACATAATGTTGGTTGAATTAATTTGTAACTCTGGTAAACACAATATTGGTAGAATTATTCGTAATTTTTATAAACATAATTTTGGTAAACATGATAAATCAAAACTCTTTTAAAAAGTCACATCAAATAATCTTTTTTAATTTCGAACTCATTTTATTCTCCTACGGCATCAAGATGCCATCAGAGAACGAACTGAGTTTAAGATATGCTAACTTTTAATAATATTTTGACCCTGATTCTTATGTTACAGAAAAAAGTGTTTGCATTACCTTTTATTTATCTTATTTTATAATTTAAGTTAATTTTTTCGCCAACCCAGTTGCACAATATAAAAAAAATAAAATTAGAAGAAATTCTAATAACACCTCTTTTTTTGCGTATTAACATCTTCAAGGTTAAGATAATAAAGATCTCTGAAAATATCACAAGAAATACATAGTACCATTTCACAGTTATTTTAATCTAATATTAAGAATTTACAAACTAAAATTTATACAAAAATAAAGTAATTTTTTTAAAAAAATAAAAGATAAAATGGATAGTGACACTTCTGGTAAAGTTTTCAGGAATGAAGAATTAGCCATATCACTAACTCGTGAAATGTGACATAACACCACTTCATGTGACCAATTTTAAAATTGTGCAATTATAATTGGTCACATGAAGTAGCGATGCATTATATTTCGTGATTATGATATAGTTAATTCTTTGTTCCTGAAAACTTTGCCAGAAGTGTCCTATTCTATATTTAATTCTATAAGAGTTTAAAATATCAATTTTAAATTCTGTAATGACTGGTGTATAAAGTTATCGAGATGCTTAATTTTTAATTCAATAATTTCAATGTCACTGTTATCTTTAAAGGATTGGCAGCATTTGTTGGCTAATGATGGATTAATTGAATTCAATTTACTTAAGAGTCTTTTTATTTCAGAATCTGCCAAAATTCTTCTTTGCTCCTTTGAATATTTCGGGTTTGTAAAATTTGTTCTGTTAATTTGAACTTTATCATTTCTAGTTCATTCATTTTCTTTTTGTTTAAGAAGCAAATTTTTATTTTTAACTTGTTCATTTTCTTGTCTGAGAAGTAAATTTTCTTTTCTGATCTGATTATGTTTTTGTTCAAAGAGTAAATTTTCTTTTTTAATTTAAAGGAGCAAATTTTCTTCTTCTATTTGATGCTTTTGGAGATTATTGTTATCATTTGTTTCATTTACTGATTCTTTGGTATAATATATTACATGAATAAATTCATCATCGTTTAGATATTCATTGGACAAATCGATAATTAAATAGCAAATAAATAAAAATATTGTAAGACAAAAGATAATATTGAAGAAATTTATTTTGCAATTTATTTTTGAAAAATACGATTTCGCACAGCTTAAAAGTACTTCTAATGATTTTAAATAAATTCATAGAAATCTAAACTCTGCATAACTAATTCTCGTGCACAATTGTAAGAATGATTCAAAAAAAAGAGAAATTTTTTATATTTACTTGAGACCTGATTTTTGTACATTATCATGTAGCTATTTTGGGGTTTAGTACGCGTATTGGGAACACGTTTTGTTGTTCTTTGTTATTATATAACGATGAATCTGTATTTCCTACAATGCAATTAAATGTGAATTATAAAAAAAACTTGTTTATTCAAAGAAAAAAAAAATTTTTACATTTTCCCAAAATCCTAATTTTTTTTCAAATATGCATTATTGCACAGTATTTTGAGGCTTAGTACGTATATTAGAACGCGCTTTATTCTTTATGGTTCTGTATTTCCTGCAATGCTATACCGAATTTATT